TAGTCTACAAAGTGAATTCCAGGACAGCCAGAACTGCATACTTAGACCCTGAATCCAAACAAATAAAGAAAAGAGAATATACTGCCTCGGCTGCTATTCACAGTGTTATCTTCTATAGCAGTATATATAAATAAGAAATACATTGACAAAGACCAAATATATAATAATTATAAGAGTTGACGTGGCACTTACCACTTTAAGTCAATCTCAAAGATGGTCAGCAGGGATCCAGTCTCTTAAGGTTAACACAGATATGAACACACGTTCCCACAGTCCTATCCTACCAAGAACGCAACAGGATATTATGATTGATGTAATGACTTAGAAGTATGAAAAATACAGGTGTCACAGTGTCATTTCTATTTCATAAAGTGTAAAAGTTAAGAATGGGTTTCATGATTTCATGACCTCTGCATTCCTGGGACTACCATATTCAGCACAATTTAGTTTCTTGATGTCTGTATGACACACTAAGTTGATTTTCATTTGTAAATTTTAGTGTCCTGGGCATTGTGTATCCTATATATTTCTTTTGTAGAAAAAAGGAATCTAATTACTTTCACAAAAACAGAAAGTGAGTTTCTTGTAAGGATTACTTGATTATGATTGATATGAAGTGTCTTCTCTATAAGATGAAAGTCATAGAGCTATAGGTCCAAGCCAAACCGCTCAACAATATTAATGTGATAAACATTGTGACATCATCTTGATACACATTAAAAATGATCTTGAATATTTTTGTATTATATGATATTTTAGATATAGAAATCATACAAAGGGGGGCAATTTTGAGAATATACAGATCCCTACAGAGAACAGTTTCAAAAAACAGTACACTGGGCAAAATATTCAGTTACCCACCTGGAGGACTGAGTTTACTTAGGTGCTGGACATACTGGCTAAGGATGGTGTTTTAACATGGCAGATCTGTCAGGAGAGAAAAGAAATACCCAAAGTCACAGAAAATTCTCTATACTGAGATTCCAAGGCCTTAATTTTCCAATTCCTGTAGGTACCCTACTAGTTTCCAGTGGGTGCTGTTTGTCTTCAGAGCCACAAAAATTTTCAGGTTTGCACACTGTGATCACATTTATTAGATCATCTGGTGGGCAGAGAGCTCAGGTGGTACATTTATTATATCAATTTTTCTCATAAAGAAGTAATTACTGATTGAGTCGTCCTGGAGTGATACTGAGAACTGCAAACATGGGTGGCAATCTATGAATCACTGTTACAATACTGTTCATCTGTCACCTCCTGTGACTTCCATAGCTGTTTGAGGTGGACAATACAGTTCCCTTCACTACCAAGACAAAACCTGAGGAAAAAAACTTATAGATGATTGCCTAAAGCAAAACGGTCATTCTGAGCACTTTGAGCACTTTGAACACTTGAAGAATGAGAATATGGCCTGGCTGCTTCCACAGACAGTCGCTTAATATTTTACTCAACAGTGATATATCAGTCAGATTTTTAAATATTATATTGCTATAAAATTTTATTTCTATTCTATCCTAAGTTGGCATCATACCAAAATTCAATTTATTCCTACAGAAACTGCCTGGGTCCAAGTTGGATTTGATGAATGCAAGAGATACCTAAGATTTCTTGTAACA